ATAAGGAAAGAGAAGAAAGAACCGCAATCGCAATGACTTCAATCGTTGGTAGATTTTAAGCTACGATATATGGCATAAATTCACAAACGCGAGCGTGTTCAGTTCAGCGTCAACAATTAGCCGACAGAAGGAAATTGAAAGAATTCATTATTTCAGTTTTAATTACTTTATTCATACTTTCATAATTGCCGAAGAACACAAACGCGTAGTCTAACGATGAGCTCGATGATTGTGATGAATTGTTGGGCAATTTTCCATTCATATATATATATAAGTGTATATATGTATATATATATATATTTATCATGCTAGTTAGTATCTGTCGGTGAAACGAAAAACATAAATTGATTGCATGCTTTTTATACTAAAGCGAAAAACTTGAAATTCAATTAAAATTTTTACTATTTTCAATATAATGAATGCAAAGCAAATGTTGTTCATGTTGTTGCATTATACTTTGTTCACTGTAAACGCCTGCAAGAGCCGAACCCAACATAGTTCAAGAGCAGAGATTTTCAAATTTGGTTTCTCTTTAAGGGAATACACGTAACACAATGGACGCAAAGAATAGATGAAAAGAAAATTCAAAGCTTGTGCTATAAAAACATTTTTGTGGTACCTAAGTTGTTCAAGAAGAAAATGCTTTGGGAATATCTGACTTAGTGGAATGGGGCGTACAGTGCTAATAATTGCACAGAAGAAAAACTCGGTGTTTTTTTTTTTGTTTTTTTTTAATGATAGATAACTCATAGACAAAAAAGTTAACCATGACGCGCCACACAGTTATGGTAATGTTTTGGTGATAGTAATCTATTCGCCGACACTTTTTGTTTTTTTTTTTTTAAGTCAAGGTGTGTGAAAGGAATGAACATGTAACAAATAAGTAACAAATTATTATATTTTATGATGGGAGTTTCAATATTTCGGTTTAGATAAGCGCTAGGTTCGCTTACCTCTTCTTCTATATTCGGTATTTTATTTGCGGTTATTTATTGCTATCAAAAAGTAATTAATTTTCACCAAAATCTACTAATCGTCGTTGCTTAGGTGCATAATCCATATAATTGACCGGATAATATACGACAAAATAATAATAATAACAACAACAACAACGGCAATAAATGAGCAAGTAAATTCGTGTTAATTGCTTGAAACGACGACCGAAGCACACTTGGAATGAGTTATTGCATCATTCAGTCAAATATTGTTACAAATGTTTGTTTTGCGCATAAATTTTCAAGTTACATGAAGAGATTTTGTTACCGCGTCTGCTTACCGTTTCTGAGGAATTTAAATCGGAAGACATGCTCTCACACACGGCTTAAAGCAATTGATATCATTGTCATCAGTAAAACGAAAACACAATTTAAGAAAACAACAACAATTTATTTCTAAAGGCAATAACAACAACGTTGGATGTTAGTAGTCAGTCGCATTTTTTTCTCGAATTTCTATGTGTATACGCTCTCGGGTTGGTAGGAAGCACATCAAAGATGTGCGTTAATGTGTTAATGCGCACATACCAAGCGATCGGGAACGCCACCGCTTTCGTAATTTATGACAACACGGAATGCTTTATTATGTGACCCCTTGACTAATTTATATTGTGTCCAACAATAATTCTTGTTATTTATGGAATTTTGCTTTTGATGCTAGTAGTTTTTTTTCTTCTTTTTACTTTCAAATACCCTGTGCAGCATCGTAAAATTACACTAAGTCAGTAAGACAAATTTAAGATGGGGCCCATCTTGTTATTATCAAAATCATTTTCTGAAGCGATGTAAGTTTCTCTGTTCCTGTGATGGTTTCCAATATCTAGTTAACCTATTAGTCGCAAATTTGCTAAGTAAAAGCCTGACTCTACGAAAAACGTCTTGGACCGGGGCGTTCCATTTTGAGGATGAAAGCATGTTCCATTTCAAATAGTTCCAGACAAAAATTATTGTCCTTGTAAGTACATACGAAAGTTGAAAGACATTTTATCAGCCCCCTTCAAATAAAAATATTCTAAAAAAAAAAAAATACTAAAAGCTACGCTTTTCCTGGCACCAAGATGTAGTTTGTAGCATTCAGCTAGTATGAGAAAGCAAGAAAATAGAAACAAAAACTCGATTCTAGCACAAAATACTCATCCCTCCCTATAAAGATTATCACAGAGCAATGTATAATTTTTGCTATTTGACGAAAATAGATGAAGAATTGCATTGAGAGAAGTATTGCAGGGTATTTAATAGCCGGTTTGTATTCATTACAACATTTTCACTTGCTTTTGCTTAAGAAAACCTAGAGAAAATCGTGATTCTATGATAAATTCTACTAATGAAGATTATGGTGTTTGGTATGGGGTATTATAACCATCGTTGAAGGATGAGGGGTACACTCATATTGTCAAAACGTTTGCAGCGCCCAGAAGAAAACTTCAGAGACTCTAAAAAGTGTATATATTCTTGATCAGCATCGACTTATGAATCTAATTAACCATGTCCGTCTGTGTAAAGGCTGTCATAAACATTCTCCTGGCCGCAAAAAAAATACTAAGGGATTCGAATTTGGCAGAAACATGAGAAGTTTTTGTACGCAGTGAAAATGGGCCAAACCGAATCGAAGGAGAAGCCTACAACAATAACAAGTAAACTGAGAACACTTTGTTTTTTTTAAAAGGAATAGAAAATAGCCTTCAGCTCATTACTCATAAGTTACAGTAGACAAATCTACATGAATTTGAACGCAAGTTCTATTGGTAATGATGTATAAAAATAGGAATAATTGACCACGCCTACCCAATATCGTAGTGTACCAAAGTTTAATTATTTTTTTCAATACCTTTATAACGCGCAGAAACAAGCTTCAAGAACCCTAATAAAGTGATTAAAATCGTGGGCAGTTTTACATTCGGAATTCACCTAAGCATGTCCGTCTGTTCGAAGCGAAAGTGAGAATTTCGCCTACAAATTTGCGAGAGAATCTGGAGGTGACCTAAACTTTTCGAAGGACACGCCTACAACGCTCACACGCCATTGCGGCAAAAACTTTTTTTTTTTAAATAAAGACAATCAGCCGCGCCCACTGCATATTATAGAGCATGAAAATTTAGTTGTTTTACTTTTTCGTTTTTTGGTGATGAGTGTAAAAGATTCGGTCACGACCGAATATAATTTTGTTATTTGTTTGAATTATCCCAATTTTTCTACTTATTTTTCTACTTACGGTTTCATTCAGTGGGGATCAACTATTCTTGAGCTAGTACCAGCAACTGCCCTTTGAACTCAAAGACATCTTTCTGTTATTACAAGTTGTTTGACGAAATATATTCCTTACCACATTGTTGTGCGTCGTAAGATTCTTTTTGCATCCAAATATTCCGATTTTGCCCAGAAGCTGTCCTCCCTGACATAGATAGATAGGAGCATTAAAGTTTGTCTCATTTGATAAAAAAAGCTGCGTCGATTAGACCATATATCAACTTCACCATGAAGGCGATGTCTACGACAAGCTTACGTTTCTCGAGTGGCGCTAAAGATGTAAATATTTTCATGTGACGATAAGAGGACACGCGGATCCCAGCCTAACTTTCTAAACGCAAAAAGCAGAAACAGCTTTCACAACAAAAGCATTTACATGGTAGCGATAAAAGATTACCATACAACTGACGCATCGTTCAGTATTGATCGTACTAAGCTAACTAAAGCCTCTTCGTTACATATTGGGGGTCATGAAATTCTGCTGGCCGGTGCGTAATAAAACCAAGCAGAATGCAAACGTCGGACGGACCAAAACGCACTTTCGTTGTTGTAAAATTCATTTTTGGTAAACTTTTCCATTATTATACAAAGTATTTTACTATTGCTTTCGTGTAAGTGCAACTTATAGTTTGCTTAAAATACGTACGTTGCGTTCATCCCCTTTGCAGTGAAAAGACAAATAATAAATGTCAGATCGTGAAATGAAAAATGACCAATCAATGCGATACAATTCAATACTGCCTTAGCACACAATAAGAATTGCTGAGAAAAACCCAAATGTGTCCGATGGCAATGTCAATGGTATTATGAAGATTAGTGAGAGCCAAGGGTGGCGGTGTTTGTCCCGCGTATGCAGCTGTGAATGTATTGAGGAATTTGTTTGTTTTGTTCTTTTTTGTTTAGCACAAACAAGTTTCGAAAAATTTCACCAAATTTTTTTTTTCTATTTTACATCATTCTTTTTTAATTACATATTTAATAAACATAAATTAATAAATAAATTAATATAAATATAATCAATTTCAACAACTTTTCTAAATATTACAAAAAAATAATAGATTATCTATCTATCTTTATATATATATATATATATATATACATAGATCCATATAGGAAAACAAACAATCGAAAGTGGAGAATAATTAATTAATTGAAAAAGTTGTGGTAAAAATGATTATTAGCAACCCCCGACTCCCCAGGCACTGAGATTGCGTTACCCATATTGCGAATTGTTTTTGCAGCAAGCAGTCTTTTCAACTGTAACGAAATTGCAATGAACAAACAATACTCTGCTAGCTCGTACCATAATTTATTAGTTTTTCGAGCTCAGCTTGCAGCGCGTAGCAAGCATATCCGTGAGGTTTCGTGTGCATGTCACACTTTAGTTGCTTCCTTCCTGTGCATACTCATGCTTCTTCGCTATGCTGATTTCTTTGTACTGTATACTCGCCCTTACTTGTTCTTTATTGTTGTTATTGTTGTTGTTGATATTACGCTTTTCTTTGCATACAAGAAAACCTTTGGACTGTTTTTAAAATACGTTCGGAAATTGCTTTCCTTCAGTCTCGCTTTCTCTCTCTCTCTCTCTCTCCCGGCCACTTTGATCTTTTGCTAGTTCGGTTTGCCCGCACCACAACTGAGCTCGCCATAGGGAGTGTGTGAATGCACGCATGAAGTCGTAGAGAAACGAAAGTTGCTTCTCTTGATTTCAATAAAAATTTTTCTTACTTTTCGCCAAACGATGGAAAGTGTTTCTATTTAGCTTTGGTTACAAGGCAACTGATATAATTGGTTGGATCCTGCTGGCATAATCATTGACTGGTGTTCAGGTGACGTTTGCTCAAATTGTAAATTTGACTGGTAGTGCTGAGAAGGCGGTAAATAATGCGGATGATGATGTTGATGATACGCTTGCGGTGTATTTTCGTACTGTTGACTAAACGTTTCATTGGGCTGATGTTGATACGTGGGAAAGTTTTGAGTAGCAGGCGGCATATATGCGGGAAATGTCTCATGATGGGGATTAGCTTGTTGCTGTGGCATAAAAGATGCCTGAGCTATAGGTCCATCAATTTTCGTCGGTACCGTTGAGTAAGGTAGCAGACCTTGATGGATTTCAGGCGGGGCTTGGAGTAAAGAGCCATCTTTTTTGCATTTCATGCGGCGATTTTGAAACCATATTTTTATCTGACGGTCCGATAAGCCCAAGGCATTTGCGATATCGATGCGACGGCGACGCGGTATATAACGATTAAAATGAAATTCCTTTTCCAGCTCTAATGTTTGATAGCGAGTGTACGTTTGGCGTGTGCGTTTGGAATCTTTGGTTTCTGAAAATTTCAAGAAAATTATTACTTTTATTACTGCGATTTTCTTCGAAATTGTAAATAATTGCAAGCAATGAAAAAAAATAAGAAAACAAAATAGCAGAACGTTTAGCTGTCGTCTGCCATAAAATGCGAACAGTAAGTTCTCAGTAATCGTAAAATGATGGAAATCATGAGCTGAAATTATGATGCCTACCTGATGTTAGATGACGGTCTTCGCATTTCAACCAATTGTAATTGGTATTCGTCTGTGCTTGAAGAGTGATTCCATGTTGTGTTTGCTGTTGTTGTTTTTGTTGTTTTTTTTCTAAGCATTGCGTTTGAATCAATTTATGATTGACATGATGACTGTCATTTTTCTCAGGTGGTGACAAAGGTGGTGTATTAATGCCAGCGACCACAGCCGGCGAAGGAACTATCGTCTCAATTTCATTCGCTGTAATCGCGTCATGTTTGTGATTCTTGTTCCGAGTCACATTTAAATATGAGGGTGTTTTCACATCCAAGTAATCCCCCTCACTGCGATTGGGTGAGGAAATATTTTGCGGAGTCGTAGGCGTATTGGCTAACAGGAAAGCCTGTTCTTGACACGCCAGGGTACTAGGCTCAGATAGACAACTTTTGGTTTCGGTGCCCAAGCTATTGACTGAATCGGCATCATAATCGGGACTGTACTTGAGTTTCTTATTTGTAAGGAGAGCTCGTAACTGACTAGAGGGCTCTTTGTTGATTTTCGTGGTCGTGGTTGTGCTATCTTCTTCTAATTCCAAGGCTTTTCGTTTTTTTGCAATTGATATTTCAGGCGTTTGGCTAACTTCGGTCTGAGTATTCATTGCAACTTGTCGTCCATAGCCATCGTAATTGTAACAAGCGCCTGCAACAAAATTACTACTACATGGAAGGGCTTCATATTTCGTTTGGACCCCTTGACCAGATTCGTTGGAAATGGAATTCCAGACATTGTATGCTTGTTGTTGGTGATAGTATGAAGATGGACTCGATGAAAAAGTGCCGTTATTATAATAAGGATTGTGATATGTATCGTAGAAGTTTTGTGAATAATTTGTTGAATTAACTGGGAACTCGTTGTAGCAATTTGTTGCTGTCATTTTCGTTTCGATTTTTTTGAACGTTAGCGTATTTGATAAAAATGTAACAATGGTTTTGCTTTTTTTACTTTTTTGAAACTTAAATATTGCTGATGTGATTTCTATGATGCTTCGAACGCGAATGGGAAGTTTTCCGTACTAACTGAAGCCTAAATAGCAAAAATTCATACTCTATTCGACTAGATAGGAGATGTATGGCACACGACCTTTTGCTGCTAGATTGCCGGTGTTGTTGTTGTGCTCGTCATTGCACATAAATATCCCTCGCATGACACTTTGACACATGCTGCGAATTGTAGAATTTGTGCAAATGACTGACAAACTATTTTAAGGGATATAATCGCCCCTTTTAAATTGTTGAGTATCACTAAGAAGAGAATGCGAGAGCGAGTAATAGAGATACGAATCAGGGTAGGTCAAGAAAATTGTACTTAGAACAGAGGGGTAAATATTTCAAATATTATACTCTCGCTCTTTCTCGTTCTCTGTCTAATCGCTCTCATGAAAACTTGTACATAGTATACCTGCGGAGATCTTTATTATCTATACGCACTCGACATAAACAAGGCATTATCATCGCGAAATATTTCACTTTGCATTCGAAACTATCCAGCTGATTGTCAAGGTGAAAACGTTGTATTATGAATCTTTGAAGAATTTCCACTGTATGCTTCCTGCAACGAATAATTAAGACGTTTGATGTGCGTGCAAGGAAATGACAACGATGAAAGCAATACAAATGAAAAGACTGCTTCTAATTGCAATAATCATAAAAACATAAATTCTTGTATTAGAAGGTGTCCTATACAATATACAATGCATAGTAGAAATGTTCAGTTGCCTGCGACTCCATTATTGTAGCGAAATATTTCTGTTCCTTATGCTAGTGTGGCTTAAAAATGGTAAATCACATGTACGTATGCGTGTATACGTTTGTGCAAGTCGCGTAATATCTGCGCGTGCTTTCAAAACGCGAAATACGTCAACATGGTTATATAGGAACGCCTTCCATAAACGACCTCGAAATCCAACAGTAGCTATACGCATTTATTATCGATTAACTTAAATGGATTATTTTTTATATTGTTTGCTTCTTGATCGAGTAGTGATCTTTTGCATTTTTATTTTTAGTTCGTACGTACTATATGCGTACTATGCTCATAAAAATTCAAAGATTACTGCGATTCGTATGAAATTCTTTAAGTAAACATGGAGGAGACATTCTAACAATATTGCCATTTGCGGTGAAGTGAATAAGTGAGTGAATTTCAAGTCCGCCTTGGCGAATAATAACGAAATTAATTGAATTGATTTACAGCCATATATAATCCACTGTTCACGGGATTTCATAATAATTTTCTTTGTTTTTCTATTTAACTATCAGATTTGGCTTATTTTTCGAAAAATGCTGGTAAGACTACCTACCACCCTTCTTCTTAGGGTTACATATATGTTTTTTCCTCCTTCCTTTTTTTTTCCTAACTTTACAAACATATGTGTACATTGTATATGCGATTGATGAAATCGTATCATATCATATGTATTGATACGCATATGCGCTATTGCATTTCCTCTTTTCACTTTGGATCAAATGAGTGAAACTATTGCAAAATTTATGGCTTCGTTTGGGATGACATTTTTTCACCCATTTTATTTCAATTGTAACATGTTTGATTGTAGGTTTCGCATGAGTTAAAGGCAATCGCAATTCCGTGTCGGAAAGGTTTAGATATGTTTACATTTGTTGCGCGTATGTAATGTTAAAAATAAGTAGATGTTATGTTCGACTCTGGCTGAATCTTGCTCACTCTCATCTAAAACATATGAAATTTGTGTTTAGCAAAACTTTTCTTCTTCAAAGTTTGTGCTTATTTTGTTCGAAAATATCGTTTACATTTTGTGTTGTCTGTTGTCTGAAAATGCATTTCTCCGTAAATGTGATTAATATTTGGATTATTTTCTTGTTCAAATATGTGATCTCAATTTATTTAGTTAAATAGGTTTTCGATAAAACAAATGTTTTTTGTGGTTTTTCGAAAAATACGATATATCTCTTGGGAAGGAAACCACTGGGATGACCTTAAAGAATTTCTTTCTTTTCGCAAAAATTTCTTTAAATGAAGCAAAAATAATAGAAAAATAATACGCGAGGAAGTTTCTAAGTTAATACATTTAAGTATTAATAAAGTAGCCAGTGTTTGCGGGTCCAAATCTCAAGTGTGGTGGACGTTACTTTGACACATCGTCGATGAAGGCCTAACTCATTCACTAAGCTGCACTCATCACCTCCCTATCTCCTCCTCTTTCCTCACTTCTTTCTGATCCTTACCGTGTTACATGAACAGGGGACATCCTATCCCCTGGGTGACTGGTTATTTAAAAAAAAAACGTCGGAAAAGTTCTTGAAAAATTAAAAAAAATGCAAACACTAGCACCATTCTCACATGTGCTGTTCTAGCTGAAGAAGTACGTAAGGAATCTTAAAAATGCAGCATTTTTATGTGGTTGATCGAAAAATTGAATGTTCGATCAGAAAAAGGCACTCATTTATATGTAAGCAAAGTTCAAATTAATTTCTTGAAAATCCTCTACGCGATTCCCTTATAAATACTATTTCGACGATTTTGCAAAGATTTCTAATTAGAGAGAAACAAAAGCAAATTTTTGAACACTTTTTCGACCAGCTCCCGAGTAACGCGTTATTGTGAAAGTCGTTATATGGCTGCAAGTGGTGCAGAATATTTTCTGTTGATGCGCGGCTCACTATAATGTTTTTAATTGTTTTAGAGTGAAAGTACATATCCGCCGCATATTATCATTGTCCGGAAATATCGTTTACATTTTGATTGTTCCCCTTTCTTCAGGTGTTTTATTTTATACCAATGTTTATATAGTTAGAGGTCTCGCTCTAAAAGTATAAATAATGTGTTTTGTCGCTTTCTCTGAAAATATGTTACAAGTCTGTACTTTTCAAGTTTAAGTTGACAGCGAAGGCGAGGAGTATTGCAAGAAATTTTAATATTTTACCCTCCCTTCTAAAATTGTACCAATATTTGATATATTTTATCGCTCGGAAAGTGGCAATTAAACTGACACTTCTCGAATAATTCAAGACATTTGGATTTAAAATTTTTTATTTTGAATCTAATAAGTGTTTGATTTATTTTTAACTTTTATACCCTAACTCGCTTATGATGCCAATTTATATTAAGTTTACACGCAACAGCGAGAACATCTTGAGATATGCTCATCTTTTATTACGCGGATCGATTCAGAATAACTTTCTTCACCGACCAAACTTGTGTGTCTGTCCGTCTACTTATCTTGTTTTCTCGTGTGCACAATTTTTGAGATACTTTGATGAAATCCGGTGCACCGTTGGGGCTTGGCTCAAGGACGAAGATTGTTGAAAATCTTTCCATTCATTTTCATTATGCGCCTTATTTCGAAAGATCGTTATATGAATAACTGGAATGTGGCGCAGGGTATTTCAAAACAACCGTGGTCCACAGTTGTATTTTTACTTATTTTGTTTTTTTTGTTTTATACTTTTAAGTCACGCTTTTGCTTTTAAACTTTTAAAGAAAACGTTTAATTTATTAAAAGTAAAAGTCAATGCTTGCGAAGTCGAATCTTCATGATAAGTACTCAAAGTTCTCTTCTTGTTAATGGTTATAATGTTCTCTCTTATTATATTGTTTTAAATGTCAACGGAAAGAGGTGTGCTTCATATTATATGCTTTACGTTATTATGATGTCATTTGTTGTTGCGTTACTAGCGCACGTGATCCGTTTAAATGTTCAAATTAACACATACATTCATGCATATGCATGCATGCACTGAAGTCAATTTCTCTATATGAAGTTAATATAAAAATCCGCCTTCAACGTTTAATCAATTTATCCCTTGTCATATCTAAGGCGAAAGCATGCGCGCACATTCTGTCTATTGGCAAAAGATAGGACAATAAACTCGTAATAGATAAATATTGCATTGCGAGGACGTTTTCCTCGTACATGCATCGCTGTCAATGTCAAAGTAATTTATTAATACCGCAATAAAACTGCACACGTATATCGATATATAGATTGGCACATGGTACGGTTTTATTCGATGTTCATCATGTTTTTCTCTACAGTTCAAAGCATTACGTAATCATATCAATTCAATATTTACCTTTTCACTTTTTTACCTTCGCCGCATTGCTAACTGTTTTTTTTTTTTTTTTTTTTACTTTGTTGATTTTTTTTTTTTTTTTTTTTTTTTTTTAATGTGTTAATTGCAATTTTATTTGATTTTTTTCTTTTCTTTATTATTTTATGATGTTTTGCTTTATTAAAAAATAATTATTAATTAATTGTAAAGTAAATAAATAACATATTCGATGAATAAAAGTTGAAATCAAACTTCGCCAGTATTATGTTGTCAATCTGATAATAGAGTTAGTAGTTATGAATGAATGAATGTGACGCACGGAAGAATGCTCTCGGAGCGCAGCAACGTCTGTGACTCTTAAACTCTAACCATCGCGGGCTCGTATCGTTAAGTTACTTAAGGTCTTATTTAGTCAAGATTCTAACTTTAACATGTGGACTAACTATCCAGCGCCTTTCGCCTTTAATGTGTTGACATACAAATGACCTTGCATAGGCTATTTATTTTCTAGTTATAGCTGTGTGTCCAAATATTTATGTTGATGCATTGCTTGCAATCACACACTGCAAGTGTTGTCACCAAAACACACGCAGTTGCTACTGATTTAGTTATGATCTTTTTTTTTCAATGTTAATTGCTTCAATTCGTTTCATTTTCTTCAAAATTACACTGATCACCTTTGTCACACTTATACTTATACGAACAATGGCTGCAAATCATTGAAAATAATTAAACAATGGATGTTTTCTTTTTATAGATAAATTTCCCATTAACATGGCCTGGACTTACTTGGACATACTTGTGACTGGCCCAATATTATATATATATATATATGTACAAGTAA